AGCGCTCGCTTTGCGTTTATTTCTGCTCACCTGAATAAGAAAAACCGTACAATCCGCGGTTCTGCGGGCAAATCTTTATTTAGGTGTACGAGTTTCTCTATCGTAGAGGTTGTATTGAAAGGAAATATTTCTCCATTACTAGCGCAGTGCGTCTCTGAGACAGCCACGGATGGTCAAATACACAAAAAAAATCGGTATTCTTTAAGGGAAGGTTCTTTTACCATTAGCACAATTTTATAGTGAATTGACAGCAGTGCTTGCTAGCAATATTTAAATCCTCTGATAAATGGTGATTAATTCAATTTAAATTGGAGCGTTCGTTTTTTTCAAGACCATCTTTGCAGTGTAGCGTGCGAATAATTCGTATATTTTTGAATTGAGATCATTGTTTTTGCTGTTGTAGCACGCGAGCACAACTATGTATTGTGGCGTGAAAATGTACTTAATATTCAAAGTTTTGGCGACAGAGTCTTCTCTAGTAGTTTTTTTTTTTAATCTTTTTGAAACCCTCACCGCGATTCCTGTTAACTTAAAGAAGGGAGTTGGTATAATTATTTTTTCAGGAAAGATTACTTTTATCTAAATAGGAGAAGGTTTGATACCGACTTCAATAGTTCTGTAATCCTCACGTCTTCTTCTCAAAAACGCCGTCTCACTTAATGGCCTGTGATTCAAATTAAAGGTTGGTCAAGTCCAAACAGAAGACACCCATAGACTTGAAAAGCGTGTTCTTGTGGAAGGGCGTTCATTCACTAAATAGCAGATCTAACCGTTGCAGGTATATTGGCTTTAGACTGGACCCATCAAAATTTATCTATGATTACCAGCATCAATTGAGAAATCGATGAAGAAATATCGCTTGGAAAACCTTAAGGGCGAAAATTAAAAACACTATGCAAAGCAAACTTCATCAATCCCTTCTCGGAATTTAGAAACCTCGCCTATGCGAAATTAAATATTCAGCGGAGATTCAAAGATCCGAAACTTTGGGCTCAAGAAGGGAGAATGGAAAATTTAAATGCTTGGAAAGACGAAGAAAATAAAACAAAGCTTCTAGCTGCTTTTATACTAGGTACTCTTTTTTTCTGGGTCCCTGGTTACGTTTGCGACGTTGCCGACGCATTCACAAACGAAAAGTGTCTCCCGCGCTCAATCTATTTGTTGAGCACTTTTCTCTTCAACGTCTCACATTGCGTGAAACCGCTAATTATTGCGGCCATAGATGGAGACTTTGCCACGGAATTTAAAAGAATCCTCAAATTTCGCAAAATCAGGAGAGTTGTCGACGTAAATGTGCAAGGAAACAAGCTTGGAGGAGATCCAAAGTTTATGCCGGAAACCAGGAAGTATTATTGCCAAACGGAAGATGATGATGCAAATTTGACTAAGGCGAACGACTCTAATGTGTGATCACGTGATAAACCGAGCGTTCTGCCGTTCTGCCGAAGTGACGCAACAACTACATTTACTCCGGCTTTACTTACCCTGCAGAAATGATTAATATGCAACTTCTCCTTTCCCCTGCATTATTCATTCATTATTCAGAAAACAAGAATTTGAGAATTGACCAAATAATCACTTATAGGGTTTGTCTTGACGTAATGAATCCTCTTAATCCTCTTAATGTGCGAGGAACTTTTTAGATGCTATAAGAGAGAATTGAAAATCATGTCAGAAGATTTAAAGAAGTTAACATATTAAATTCTTGGCAAGCAAAAAAAAAAAAACAGTTGATTTACATTTCAAAGGAAATTTTCCAAAGAGAGATAATCATTAGTTCTAGCAGTTTGTACAATGATGTAAAACAATCTGAGATGAATTGTTATACTAATGATACGTGAGCTTGTTGTCTGTAAAAGCCTCAGTTTTAAACGGGATTAATTTCCCAATTTTTCTCTGACGCCTATTTATGCTTGAAGGGGAGTCAGTAAAGAAGGGAAAATCAAATGAACTGTCCTCGAAACCCATCAAATCACACAATGAAAACGGAAGCTAAAGAAACTTTATATATCTGACATCCAGTAAAAGGATTTTGAGATTAAAGGTCATCATTATGAGCTTTATTTTTTCGTCGTTCGCTTGAATCAAGTCGAGATCGACCGCAGCAAATTAATCACCTCTATCTGCGTTTCAAGAAACTGACGTCAAGCAGCCTCGATATGGGTTACTTGCCTGTGGTAAAACACTTGTAGTCAGATACATTAAAACAAGTTGACTTTCTACTTATTGGACCGTAGGTTTTAATGTTCAATGTGAAGAAAATCGCTCCCCGCAGCTCACGTGAAAATACTGTGTCCAGCAAAAAAAAACACAAGAGAAAAACGCAGTTACAGAGCTATTGCTGTGCGGTATTAAAACTGGTTTTTTTCCCCACCAACGCTATTGCTCTCCGACGTCATAAATTCGTTTGTTCTTGACTCGATTAATTCTGTATCTCATAAATATTTCAAAATTGAGTTAATTGATCGCCGCCTGTCCTCGGTGTGTTATTCTGCGTGGATTTTTGAAAACTCGTCTGAAGATTACTACGGAAAATAATAAAACAGAAAAAGAGAACACAAAACAATGCTTTCCACATTTGACCTTCTTCAACATAAATTGAAGTATTAATATCTCTCCATAATTTTCCCACTCAACCCTTTCACTCTCGGAGGTGATTAACATGTTAATTTTCCCTATAATATCCACGAACCATCCATCAAATAGGTAATAATAATACGAAAACTTATGAAGTAGAAGTTGCTTTATTGATCTAACACTAAGTTCCCTTCACAAGGAAATGTGTAGCACCTCGAGGGGAGGATTAAAAACCAGATCTTAAGAGTTAAAGGGTTAAAACTGAACTTAATGCACTCACTGCATATCAGCTTTCATCAGGACATTATCACGAGTGCGAGAGATTAACAAGTGTTTGTTTTCATGACTTACGAACCTCCTATGTTCCTGATTTTTATCTCTTACCACGAAGAGTCAGTGATAGCAACGAAAAGAAACCAAAGGCGTTTTATGAAACGTCTCTCAGAAGGTGGAGATTATTTCGCTTTCCCCAACCCCTCCCCTACCGTCAATTCTAACTCCAAATCAAACATGGCCGGTTTAATCTCCCTGTCTGTACACACACGCGATGCAACATGCGTGATCTAATCAATAGTCAATCGCGTTTTGAGACCTTGACTTTGACATTGGGTTTGACATGAACACTTTGGCGGACACTCAAGTTTTTTTTACCGAATTCAATATGACAAATCAGTGTTGCCTGTTTTCCTTAGGCTTTTCAAAATATTTATTTACAGCAAAATATTTTATTTCATTTGATACGTTCATTAAATTTTAAGTTACGGACCTTGGATTTTAACCTCTTTATCGGAAAAGGATTTTTTATAGAATACTTTCTTGTCCTTACCGTGCCTAGGCAGGCATGATCTGAGACCTCTTGTTTATGGCGTGATGATAGTTGTTTTGAATAATGTCATTGAAATGTCGGGCGTCAATATGGTGGATGCAGTTAAGCGTTTACCCGATTTATTCTCGGTTAATCAGGAAAGTTGGCGTTGGAAACTTCACTCGTGGCACTGTCAACTGTCTCCAAATGACAGCTTTAAAGATAGTTCAAAAATAGCATTCTGTTATGATATCATTTTACCAATACAATCCGCTAAGGAAGTCACTGTTTTCCCGGAGGATAAGAAAAATAAATAAGTGATCTAAAAATAAACTCTTCAACAAGAACGCTGTATCATCAATCTATAGAAGTTGCCTATTTCGGGGACTACTTGGGGACTATTCAGCCTTGCGGTAGATCAGGGGTAAAAATTGTAGGCGTGGCAATGGCGTGGCAAGAATGACAAATGCTCAGCGGTCCTGCCCAAAAATAGCTCTTTCCAGTGTAACCTGGCCTTCTGAACGAGTCTTTTGATAATGGCGGCCTCAGACGGTGATATTTCTGACGCCGAATTGCGCCGCCAACTTAAGGCTTTAGGTGAAGAACCAGGGCCTATTACACCCTCTACCAAGGGCTTGCTACTTCGTAAATTAAAAAGGTTACAGAATACACGAGGAAGCAACGCTACGCCTCCGAAAAAGTCCTCTCCCAAACGATCGACTATCGCCCGCAGGTCGATACCCGCAACGAGAAATCAAAGTCCGTCGCGTAAGTTGATCGGCTTTTCTAGTGACGAGGAAGACGCAGGACCAATTCATTCAAGTAGTTTAGTTGATGATAGCAGGGCTAGGCGTGGAGAAGAAACGTCGTTTAGTAACGTTTCCCAGAGACGCAGCCGGTCGAGGTCGATTACTCCATCAAGGAGGAACAATTTGAGGTCGCGCGTAACGACCGTCATCGATCAGAGTAGCATTGCTGTGAACACGTTAGATTCCACGGATGGTATTGATGGAGAATTTTCAGATTCCGATGCGCAAAGCTATCAAAGACCAGGAGGTCGAGTTGTTGGTTCAACTGACTATTCTCGTCCACCCGTCTCGACAAAACGCGGAAGATCTCAAGACGAAAGTGAAGGATTAGAAACTACGCTTTCATCCACCAATGGCAGCAACAAACATTTCTCTTCTACCGAATCTAAACTAAGCTCTTCACTTCAAGAGAGACATACTGGAGCCAAACGTGCGAAGAATAGCTCCTCTTGGTCATCAATTGCTAAGATCTTACTCCTAATAAGTGCTATTTGCATTCCTCTTTTGTTGTATGCGACCTTCAAGGGCCACTCAAGCGAACAAATGATCCTTGCAGACTTAGGTGAGAATATCGTCGTAATATCGCCTTTTCGGTTTTGTTTTATCATCTAATCAACCAATCGTATCTTGTGCATTCAAGTATTTTAGTAAGTTATCTACCACTCGTTAGAGATAAATGTATTTCATTTCGAAGTGTACACACTTCTTAATCGTTGAAAAAACGATGCTCTAATTTTAGACCTTTTGCTGTAATTGTGGTATTTATTTATGAATTAGTTTAGTCACTGACTTATGTGATAAGACTTGCTGTCTTCATTTCTCTTCCGTAGTGAAACTCACAGTTTGCCAAGGGAATAATTCACTGGATAAATATGGGAATAAACCCAAGGTAACAACGATTATGTGATATACAAAATGATAATTGCTCGTGAGTTTGATCTGTTATCGACTTGTTAATTAATATAGCATAATATATTTGTCACTGCAGCTATTTTTACCCCAATGTTACCTACATTTGAATGTTGACAACATAATTTCTCAGTGGAATTCAAACTTAATTGAAGTGTTCAACTTCACACTTAGTTATTAATAGTCTCCATTATTTTAGGTAGGTCCCCAAGGGTGCACATAATTAAATGATTATTTTGTTTGTGAAGTTTTAATGACTGGTGTTATGTGTTAAATATCTTGTCAGGGTTTTGAGGTAAAAGGAAAAAAATCACTATTTCGAACAGACTCTGCGCACAGTGTTTGTGATAAATGACAACATCTCTTTTTGGTTGATGAAAAAGCTCAAATTTACCTTCCTTTTTAACCTTTTAACTCTGAAGATCTGATTAATGTTTCTCTCAGCTAGCTGCTACATATTTCCTTATAAATTAGTGATGAGAATTTGGTGTAAGGTGAAGAAAACAACTATCACTTGATAAATTTGAATGTTCTCATAACCTGTTTACTGGATAGTGTAATGAATGTTGTAGAGAGAAGTTCCATGTTAATCACTTTTGAGAGTTGAAGGTAAACCTGGTTATACTCTTAGTTTATGTTTTTAATTTTCATTATTCACTCCTATTTCATGTAATTGCTTTATAGCATCCTGATTGTATAACATTAACCAATATCAGCAAGGGATATGTAGACTTTCTGTACAAAAGACTTATTATCAGAGCAGGTGAGAGGACTAAAGATATTTTAGAGATGAGTGATAGGGTATGCTGTACTTGCTGCTAGCAAGCTGGGCTCTGTGTTAAAAGTTTTAGCACTCAAGTTGTCCCAAGTGACTGTGTTTTGTTTTCAGGTTATTACTTAAGGCTCTTTGTTCTATTTTCAACCACGAGTATGGATGGGTTCCAAAATCTTGGAAGGGAAACTACAGGAATTTCAGGGGATCGCCTATATCAGAGAGGATTAACGTTTTGGGCTCAGTTTTGCAAAGGGTGGATAATGCTATCTAACACATAAATCCCTATCCAGCGGAGACATGTTAAAAAAAGGTTCTGGGGTATCCACTAGATAGAGTTTCAGGCAGTAAATAGCATTATCCACCCTTGGAATAACCATGGCAAGGAGAGTATAGTACAGTATTC